ATCTGGGGGAACGTTTGTTCGCCAGAGCGCCCCAAGGGATGACGAGGTCGAATGGTCATAAACTACTACAAGACCATTTCAGGCTGGACATAAGGAAGAAATTCTTTACTGCCCGAGCCCCCAAGGTCTGGAACAGCCTGCCATTGGAGGTGGTTCAAGCACCTACATTGAACACCTTCAAGAGCAAATTGGATGCTTATCTTGCTGGGATCCTATGACCCCAGCTGACTTCTTGCCCTTCAGGTGGGGGGCTGGATCGATGATCTTCTGAGGTCCCTTCCAGCCCTAATGTCTGTGGAATCTGTGAAATCTATGAAACAGCAATCCCTAGATAACTGCCATATGTACATAATTAATACAATTTAAGTTGCCTAGTTCAGACTGCCCTAATCTGCATTAACTTTAATCCTCATTCAGTGAGGATTAGTTAATGCAGACTGGAGCCAGTTTTAATTTGGACTACACATGTCCACGTGCATATAGTGACAGCTGTAGTCTGGATTAAACCTAGAAAAATTTAGCATCTATAAACGGCTCATTTGCTCTAACTCTTAGTACTGTCACATTGGCAAAAATCTATGTAGTAACGTGACTCTTTCTGTAGTACAGACAGACCTGGACAGTCCAATTTGGTTACTCCCCTCTCTCATGCCTTTTCTCTCGTGAGAACCTTGGCAGACCTTCTTTTCTCAGCAAAAAAGCCTAGTTAATTTCCAGCCTATTTCAGTAAAATGTTACTGTTACAGGCATAACAGCTGTAGAGAATTTTTGCCAATTTCATGTCTTCTTCCTGTGAGTCATAAAAGCATAGAAATGTTGTTTAAGTTTTGGTCACTACCATTCCAGTGCAGGTGTGGAGATCCCAAGTCCCACTCTGCCCAAATCTATTTTCCCTAATTTTTCAGGATATCCAGTACACTGGAGTATACTGCCTCAAGAATAAACCCACACTAATGCCCTAATGCAGCTTGCATTGTGTCCTGTCACAGGTTTCAGCACACTGTCAATAAATGATTTTAAGAAAGCATGAAAAAGAAAAATGTCAAATTGATTAATTTTGAGACCGGTTTCTTCCATGATCAAGTGCTCATGTATAAGTAAGCATCCATCAACAGACATTTCTTGGTGGCTAGATTAATTAAGTCATTGTTTTCTAATTTATTTTTCTGCTCACAGGTGACTTCTTATACCTACGAGCAAACAGCAGTCAGACAGGTGGTGTTGCCAAGGCTTACAGTGCTAGCTTGCCTGCCAGGATGGCCAGTGGAGATTACCAGGTATATTGCTCAGTTTTAGCATCTTTGTGGAACTGATCTTGAAGTTTCAAGTGCCCAGTTCTTGTATATTGCCCACTTTCTCTCTCATTTTATGCAGTATACAGTCTGAGAATCCTGGAAATTATTGCTGCTGACTGAACAACACATTTAGCCAGGCATTAGATTCTAGAAGGGACGTGCAGGTGTATGCTTAAAACAAGGGAAAATGATGGTCCCGTGCTAGCCTGCCACACAGAGACCTTAGACCATAGAGGTCTGTATGCTTTAACTAGAAAACAGGTCACAATGAGCAAAGGCCACCAGTGTTCAAGTGCTGGAAACACTAGCAGTCCATCCTAGCAACCTGCACTTCAAACCTATGGAGTTAACTGTATTGCTCCTTAGGCCTGAAGGTGAGGGGAGCCTGAATCTGTTGTATACTTGAGACATGGTAACCAGAATCCAAGAGTTACAGTTGAGTTAAGAGCAGCTTTGCAGGTGCAGGGCTGTTCTGCCCACACAGCTTTTTCAAGGAGGGCTTCTTGCATTTCTCCATATACAACCTTGATGGTGTTGTATTAAGGAAGGAAGGATCATCCCTTGCATCACTTCCTATCTGATAAAGAAGAGAAGGAAGCAAAAAGTTTAGGTCCCAGCCTAAGAGCCAGGGGTTCTGAGAATCCTGGGAGCATGTGAAAGCTTCTTGTGTGTCCCCAATCAGTGTAATCTAAAGGGAAATGTATGTGACAGATTTGGAACTACTTGGTAATGTCTTTGAATACTGTGTGTTGGCTTATCTGGGGGATTGTTCCATATGAAAATAGGAAGAAGAATTTGCCTTGACAGAAACCAATGGTTTTTTTATCTTACATCAGACCTGGGTGGAATCTGTTTTTTAGGTGGAAAGGGTTTCTGGCCAAATTATGAGGATGGAGTCTGGCACTCCAAGGTGATAGTATGGGTATGTTTCATGTAAAAAGGGATGCAAAATTGATAGCAGATGGTCTTTTTTTTTGAACTTCCCTCCCATGTTTGTTGAGTGTCTTTGCTCTATTCACTTTTGCGAGGAGGAGTGAAATGACAGCTATGAGTATGCCTGAGTTAAACTGTAAGCTCTGGACAGGAACACAATTATGACTGTAACCTTCCCTGTTACCTTTCCTGGGTATTAAATCTCCACCTTAGGTTAAAGTATCCAGAGGCAGTTGAAAAACTGTCAGCCTGACAAGGACAATCTATTTCTGGACTCTGCACTCTTGATAGCGGAGAAGATGCCTCCTAGAGAACCACCAATGAAAGGGTCATCAGGGCTCATCAACTCTGACCCACTCTTTCCTAATGGAATAATGGGCTTACTGCTCCCTCTTGGGGCCACTGTCTTTGAATGGACTCTCTATACTAGGGCTGGGCAATTATTTGGGCCTGGAGGCCACATATGGAGTTTTGATGAGTTGTTGCAGGCCATGTTAGCATCTGCACCCACCGTAACAACTCACCAAAAGTCCCTGTGTGGGATGGGGCTGTGGGCAGGTGGGCGAAGCTGGGATTATGGGTAAGGGTCACAGGGAGGCCCTTGCCTTGTGAAGGGGGGTGGGAAATGTGGGGGGTACGTGTGCCTACGGAGTGGTCTGCCTGGGCTCTGGGCTCTAGGTCCCAGGATCCAGCTGAGGGTGAGGGGAAGGAGTGGGCAGGGGGTGCATGGAGCAGAACTTGCCCAGGTGGGTGGTCCACTGAGGACCCCGTGGCACTATGCATGGGGCCAAGCCCTGCCCACAGCAGCCCATACCATGCTCCAGCCCACACCTGCTGGCCTAGCCATAGTCAGCACACACAGCTTCCAGCAGGGCTGCTCCCAGTGCAGCTGCTGATTAGCTCCCTTTGGCTCCCCTTGCCTCCAGCAGCAGCTCCTCCAGCTCCTGCTGTGCTGCTCCAGGCCAGGAGGAGGCTTTAGCCAAGCAGCTCTTGCCCCAGCACTGTCTGTCTCCAACTCCCATCTACCTTCCACCCACTTGGTAGCTCGTGCTGGTCAGGTGGAGTGTTTGGAAGGCAGCCAAAAGCTGGAGCCAGAGCCCCGCATGCTGGGGCAGGAGCCACCAGTGAAGCTTCCTCCCAGATGGTGGCAGCCGCTTTTGAACTAAAACACAAAGGAAGTGTTTTAGTTCAAAAGCGCACCACCACCATTTTCTGTGCACTGATGCGCATTTCACTGTGTATACAACTGCAGGCGATGCATCAGTGGGTGCTTTTCAAAGCACCTGGCACTGCGGCACTTGCATGTGTAAAACTGGTCATAGTTAATGAAGGGGATTGCTTCTGTGAGAGATGCCATTCCATGGCCATATGCTATAGACCAGGCCAGCAGGCAGGAGGAGCTATCTTACCCCTAAGGCCTTGAGCAAAATCCAGAAATCACTGAGCTGGTGAAAAACAGACGGGAAATGCAGTTAGGAGTTTGCTGTTTTTCCTAACTGTAATGCTTTAAAGAGTAAAGCAGTTTGTGGTTAAAGACTGCTTTTTCTAAACCTGTGTTTCCTTAGTGTGCTGCCACATTGTCTCTGAGGGATGTAACTAGGAAGTCAGATCTCTTGAAGCCAAGTGGGCCCTAAGAGAACATGTCTATTGAGCTGAGGCTTTGTAAAGGCTATAGCTGTTGTTCTGGGGTCCAGATTTGTGGCCTGCCTTTGTCCCTCCACAGACCTAAGTAGTTTGCTGCCTGTCGAGGAGAGGGGTTGGAGCCAAATTGTAACAAATCATGAAGACTCATTTTAAAGGCTGGTTTATCAGTCAGAAAAGGTGATCCCCACACTCATTTGCTCTCCTTTTACCACAGAATACCATTATCTTTTTGCTCTTGTTTATTACAGGTCCAATTCTCAGTGCATATTTTTGGCAATTACAATGGCACCCTCTCATTATCTGTCCAGGAGGAGACAGATGGAGTCTGTACCTCCCTGTGGGAAAGGACAGGGAGCTGGAGTGACAACTGGTTTCTAATCACTCTGCAAATTCCAGTGCTCCAGAACTGGTAAGAGTGGCTTTGGCAGCATCCGTATATTTGCCTGTGGAGTTTAGTGAATGTGTTGAATCCATTATTGAGCAGTGTTGTTTTCATTCTTGCCTCTTCTTAGCGTTTCTCCTAAAACCAGGTGTAAATGGGTGCAGGAGGTCCGGTTGTTGAACACATCTCCTTACATGATTAATGGATACAGATTTCCAATTGCTACCCAGTGTTGATAAAAGAGAACAGCACATGGTCTTTTTATATTGCAAAAAAACCTACAGGCCTGATCCAATGGGAAACTTCATAAGACCTAGTTTTATTCACTGTTCTGATCATTTTAAGTTAATGGGTTTTGTGCTGGTGTATTAACTAGGGGTGTTTTGGAGCCTTGTGATGCTGGAGAAAAATAACAATTTATCTGTTAAAGGTGGAAACAAAATGATTTATAAAATGCAGTTAGTTAATTTAAGACAGGTGAGTAGCTGAACTAATCACATAGGGGTGAATGTGGGTAAGTAAGTAAGATGAAGCCATCAGGAAACCATTCACATCAAACTGTTCTACCCAGCCATCATACTCATATTATCCCATCTTTCTATTGGTGCTTGATGCTGTGTCCACTCCAATTTGAGAGTGAGTGAGACTAGTTGTACAAGTAAGGATGTCAAGAAAAAAGTTATTTTCTATAAACAAAAATGTCCAGATTTTCAGTCGGCTATGTGTGAAAAGGCGTATGTATCAATACATGTAGTCAGCTTAAGTGAGAAGATTCCACTACACGCGTGTACAAGTCAATGATTTGCATGCACACATATACTTATTATGAAATCTCAGAGTATGCGTATACATTGGGGCTTTCACATGGCTAAAACTGTGCCTTACCAGCATAGGAATACCAGTATACTGTGGGCATGTCTACACATTCATTAATGTGCCTTTGCTACTGCACATTAAATTTAGCACCTCTAATGTGAGGTACTAAATAAATGTGTATTAGGCTGCCCTAAAGCACAGTAGTGAAAGCACACATTTTTTAGTGCCACAATGCATAGTAGCCTAATTTTACTGTGCATTAGCATATTAGCATGATTTTTGATGTGATGCTTTAATGTACAGTAAAATAGGCTACTGCACATTAAAGTCCATGTGTAGACACTCCCTGTGCTGGCAAAATGTTTCTAGGGTGGACCCAGCAACATTTTATGTACACACACATCTTAAAATATAAAACATATCTTAAAATATTATTTAGGTTATGAAGTAAAACTCAAATTTAGAAAATGCCAGAATTAAGAGAGTGTGTGACTCTCATGTACATAAACATCATAGTACTGTCTTTAAATACATACTCTAATATTACTTATCTCACAGAGCTCTCTGCATGTTACTTCTTTCATTTTTAAAAAAGCAAACTAAAAAACATACATGTCTTCATGGGGCATCATGTCAATACCCACATGATTCATCAGCAGGGTTGGAACCTTTAGCTCCACCACATAGCCTTGGGCCACTTGAGCTAACAGAATAACTGGTAGCAGTAGTAGGTTGTCATCCTCTCTCTGGACCAGTACTAGAGATGGGGGGAAGAAACATGTACTTTGCTAGGAGTTTCACAAAAAGTTAAGACTTGAGAACCATGAGTTCCATTCCAACTCCGTACTTCTTCCTGTACCCCCAAGCTTGACCTCTTCTACCTTATCTGTATCAGTCTCCCTGTCCACCGTAATCCCTATTTCCCCCACCTCCTCCATAACCTAATCGTTTTGCCCAGTGGTCCGAGTTTCTCTTTTATCTCAGCTTCCAGTCCCAATTTCCCTATCCCTCCATGCCAGCCTCCAGTATTGGTCCCCCTTGCTTCCTTACTTCTTACACTGATATACTTCCCTACCTTTTCAGATCTGCTTCTTGTCCCTTCCATATTTATATCAGGCAGCTTCCTTTCTACTGGGTTCAGCAAGGTGAGACTACATGTAGTAGAGGAAGGACAGGCTTCCTGCTCTCATTTCAGGTATCCAGTCCTAGACCTGGCACTGCCCATAGAAGCTCACAGTGGCAATTGCAAGGAAAGCCCAGGCTGTATATGCCTAATGAAGATAGACTCTTTGCAGATGTAACTTTTAAAGTATAAAGAAGTCTCTGCTGAGCACATGACTGCATTTTTTCAAAGACTTATAACTTGGCCAAATTTGAGGGGCTAGCAAAAGGCACATCCTTCATCTAAATTTAGAGTCCCTGCTCCAAAGCATGGGGGCACTGGAGTATTTAAAAGAAATGGTTGCTGGCAGTTTTCAACCTTGGCAAAACAATATATTTTTCCTTATGCCTCGTGCACAGAAACAATTAACCATTTTGGTTGACATTTTCCAGAAAAATTCAGCCTGAAGCAGATATCTGGCAAGCAAAATGTTAACATAAATGGCAAAATTTGGCATTTATAAGCAGAAGAAATCAGGGGTTTATAATGGGAGCTATTGGACAAACTTAGCGTGTGTGGTAGAAACCACACCTGTAAGAATACAATAGGTTTTGTTATCCATTGCAATTAAATAAAAACCTTGACTATGAATTACTGTTTCTCCTTATTTCTGGGTGCGGCTGTCTTTTCACTTTGATTGATGCAGGGTCTAGTATTGTCCTGTCTGAGGGGGTCCTTGCTATACAGTTATGGCGCAGAATGCCATATCCCATTTTCCAATGTAGCAGGGAGGCCTCAACCAAAGTGGGTGATGGCCAACTGACCTCCATAACTGTTCCTGCCAATTTGTTAACTTATGAATGTTAAGTGAGAGCAGCAAAACCTGAAACCTTGAAATCAATCTGAGAAGGAAAAAACAAAGCAGGATTTGCAAAAGGCATATACTCCCCCAGACAGTTCAGTTTCATCTGTCAGGAAGGAAAGCCTCCTGTCCTGCTGCAGGAAATCTCAGTGATCAACCTTGTTCTGCCCTGAATCCCTGAACCATTCTGATAGGGCCTGGACTCACTCGTGGCATATTTCTGGGTAGGGGCAGTAAAGGATTAAGAATCTCACTCAAGCAGCATCTGCCTTGGTTTCTCTTCTCTCCTTCCCCTGCCACTGTCTTCCATATCTTAGCTCCCCTGCTCCAGAGGAGCTTTCTCTTCATGGCTGCTTCTTTCTCTCTCAGGGACCTACTCTGACTTCTTGAATCAAAATGTCAAGGTCTGTGCATCTACCCTATTCTTTTTCTGGCTTCTGGGAGAGGAAGGAGCCAGTGGTAGGCTAGGAGGAGATGGAACAAATGTAGCAGGGAGGGATTGGAATTGAAGTCTGTGAGGAACGAAAGTGGGTCGAAGGCAGTCTCTGGCGAAAGCCAGAAGAAAGGAGGGCTAGGCAGCCAAGGAAAGGTGATGAGGACCATGTGCATAGCCCTTGGCAGGTTCATCTTACAGGTAGATTGTTTTTTAAATTGAATGGGGAGAGATGGATGGCAAACCGTAGGGTTCAATGTTCAGTGTCCGGATCAGAAGCCTACCTACATAGGAAGCTATTTTTGGTGACTCTAGTTCAGGGGCAGGCAAAGCCCTGCGGCAGACTCCATTTCCCAGCAGCCCCTGTCTGTGTTCCCCCTGTCTGTGTTGCTGCAGCTGGTTTCCATGGAGACTCCATCAGCAGCAGGACCGTGATGGCACAGGACCAGGGTTTCCATGGAGACTGGCCCCAGAAGCGCTAGCAGGATGGTAGCTGGATGGGGAGCTGGAGTGTGGGCAGAACTGCGGGGATGTGCACGCAGCAGATCGCAGCTCTGCCCCCACTCCAGACCATGCTGTCAGTGCTGCAAGAACCAAGCCCCAACCCCAGAGGAGCTCCCCACCAAGCAGTGCCCTCTGCTAGTGCTGCTGGGGCCAGTCTCCATGGAAACCCTGGCCCTGCACTGTTCTGGCCCACCGCTGCTGGGGTCTCCATGGAAACTGGCTGCAGCATGACACAGGCAGAGCCTGTTAGGAAATGGAGTCTGGCCAGTGGCCAGATCCACCCTTTTGCCAACCCTGCTTTAGCAATATATATCTGCCTATGACTCTTCCCCTCTAAAAACACCTATAAATCACCATAAACTGAGAGCTGGCAGAACACTGAGGAAGGCAGGCAAGGGTTATAAAATACTACAAGTGCAACCAAACTGTCCTAACAAGCAGCAACACTGTGACCACAAGGGTGGTGGTCTGTAGCAGTGGACTCAGATGCATAGGCGACTGGTAGGGGATGCATGGGGGTGCACTTGGCCCCCCTGATGGGGCCAGTGCCCCCCCCAATGACTGACACCGATGCTGTTGCTAGGGCTGTTGCCATCGGCGGCTTCTGTGGGTGCTCCGCCAGATTCAGGAGGCACCACGCTCAGATGGCAAATTAGTTCCCCCCTTCTTTGTTATAGAGTTGTGGAAGTCCCTAGGGTTGTGGAAGTCCTTTGGTTTACAGTACACTGTTGGTGTATCAGAGTTGTTTTTCCAGTATGGTCCAGCTCCCATGGGTGTGAAATGATTCACTTAGATGTAATAGACCACATATTTAGCTGGTATAAATAGCGATATTGTTAGTATTTCAGTGGAGTTATGCTAGATTTCATCCTCTGCAGGATAAGGACCAACCTTGGGTTGCTATGTATATATACATTTTTGTATTTTGTATACATTTTGTATACATATTGCCACTAATTTAGAAAAAGAGTGTTCCCAAGCAGGACACTTAATAGTTTACACAGCATACTCTGCTCATCAAAATTCAATGCCTCATAAATCATGAGCAAGTTTCACTAGTGGCAGCAGCTGAGGTTCACTCCATGTGCTTTTAATAAGCTCCAAATGGACTAGACCTCAGACATCTGTTTATTTATGATGTTACATCAAAAACAGTTCAGTTTGATCCATTAGGAAAGGACCCTTCCATGTATTTTTTCCCTTTTGAATTCAGAGAGCATGATGACATGCATTCTGTCTTCTTGGATAAACCAGCTAATGCATGGCTCTCACTAAGTAAGCCTGAGCAAGGAGAGACACCCAGGGAAGGGGACATGCAAAGGAGATATTTCTAAACTTTTCAAGAAGTAGACAGATGCTCAAGTGGTGTAAACTGATGTAGCTCTGTTGATTCCCGTGATTTATATTAGCTGAAGATCTGTCCTAAGATTTGCCTCTATCTTATGAGCACTGGGAAAGTCCTTGGATTTTGGTTTTGTTTGTGGGATTGGGGGGCAATTTTTGCCTTATGTGTCGATGTATTTTCTTTGCTGGGGCAATTGTCTGGTATTCTGGAGAAGACAGAATCACAGGGGTAGAAAGGTCCTGAAGAGTCATCTAGTTCAACCCCTTTTACAGGTGTAGGATTTGCTACCCTCTAAACCATCCCAGACTGATGCCTACCCAGATTCTTTTGGGAAGCTGCCCCAACAAAGGGTATCCCCCAGCTTCCCTAGACAGTTTATTCTATTGTCCTACTGTTCTTCCAGTTAGGAAGTTGTCTTCACACAGTCACATGCACACATGAGTGAATACGTGCACACACATACAGCGTGGGTGGCATAGTACCCCATGAAAGGTGGCATCATATAGTTGGTTCTTAATAACTTATTAAGTGTGAAGGAGTGGTTTGTGTCATCCCCTTATGGCTGTTCATCAGGGGTGTTCCTGAAGAAATAGTTTGAATACATGTCACCCTTGGAGAGCAGCTAGGATTTGTGTGTGTGTTTCTTCTTTCTATCTCTATCTCTAAAACATCTATCTTGTTGCAAAGGTTTCACCTGCAGCTTCTGGCAACCTGGGGCTGGAATTCCCAAGCTGACATTGCTGTTGATAATATTACTTTTGGACTGGACTGCTTCACTGATGGTGAGCTACATATGATTCAAAGCATGTTAGAGAAATGTTTATAGATGAGCCAGTGATTCAGAGAATGTGCTTTTAATCTTCCTACAGAAAGTACATGGTTTGTCTGCATTAGGTTGACAGTTCTGCAGCATTTGGACACAATTTCCTTCCTCTCTTCTGCTGGAGACTACCTTCTTCTATACTGTTTTGTGGTGCATCTCAATTTTCTTAATGATTTTTCTTTACCTAATCTACAGTGTACCAGATCACATAGTTTGAGTTATATACACATATCTCAGTTGGAAAGACTGTCTTTGCACTTGGACTGTAGGTGGAATGATCACATTGTATTGTGTTTTAGTAGTCCTCTCAGGCTCACAGCATAGTGGAACAACTGATAGACTCCAGAGGCAGCCATATCTAGTTCTCCTCTGATAGATTGACTAATACATCAACTTTATGGTGAAGAGGAGGAAAAGAAGGGACCTCACAAATCCTTTCCTACTCCAGTACAAAGTCTCTCTCTCTCTCCTGTGTGCATTCACGTACTCTCTGTGTGTGCCTGTCTCTGCCTCTCTCTCTCTCATGAAGAATAGGAGTCCTTCAGCAAAAGAAAGCCCCCAAACCCACAATATTACAGTGTTGCTTATCCTCCAAATATAATCTTTGTTGGAAATAATCTAGCAGCTCACAACCCTCCCCAGTCAAATTATGCCTTCATCTACCTCTTTACAAATGCATGCTCCTGATTATGCAGCACTATAAACTATGGCATTCTAAGCAGCAGGATAGTCTAAGATACTGGGATATTTAAGTATCTAGTTGCTGCTATTAAGTACATAGATATAACTGTTAATCCAAAGTACATAATCAAATTTCTTTAAGCAGTAATAAGACAGCTTTAT